CACTGTGCATAATCTCAGTCTCAGGCAAAGTCTCTGGACATGAGCAAAATGAAGACAAATGTCTGCCACACCATTACACAAACCATCTGAAGTCCAAACCTATGCAGGTTTTCTTCCTATCAGAACCCTCTGCAGCCTGGCTTTACAGGCAGGATTTCTGATAGGTTCTGCCCTAGTATAAGTTGTTGAATCATTATGGTGGTCATCCAATATGGCTGAAGCCCTTAAAACACCAGGTTATCTTCCCAGAGACCACCTCCCTGTTCTTCTCCAGCTCAGCCTGGTGGGCTGTTTCCTTTCTCCTTTCCTGCCTCCTCAGAGAAATCCCCACTGAGCTCCTCAAGCATTTCTAACCATCCCCCTCAAAATCGACCCCTAACACAAGTGCATGAAAGCTCCTGCTTGCTTTATCTCTGGCCAGAGGATCTGCCTGACTCATCTGCACTATATGCTCTCTGTGTCTTTTAGTTAATAAAAGCTTCTTTTATCTTTAATATCTCCTTCCTGTGCCTCAAAAAACCTATCAATTCCTATCAGGCTTCTGGTCTGAGCTCTGACCAGAATCTCTCATACAGAACAGCACAAGCTCTTTCCCTGATTTTCTTGTAGGTGACATCTCTGAACCTTTCCTATCTCTTCCCATAAGACATTCCTAAGACTTTGTAATCCACACGGTCAGGTTAAGTCACAGTGAGGACCCCACTCCTGTGGTATCAAATTCTGTCTCCATTGCTTTTCTCTTGTTTTGGGACAAATCCTTGACACCCAAGATGAAGGAAGGAAAGGTTTATTTAGCTCACAGTTAGTGGAAGTTTCTTCCCATTCTTCCCTGGCTCCAAGGTGAGTGGCACATGGCACAGAACAACCTATCATGGAGGTGGAAAAAAGCAAGAGCAAAAGGGAAGAGTAGTAGCAACAATGGCCAGAGGGCAAGTCTGTCTCCCTTAGGTTACATCAGGCTGTGTGCCCTAGGATGGGTGTGGTGCTCACATGCATAATCCCAGCATCACTCACATCCATAGTCCCAGTGGAGCATAAGTTAAACACAAGTTTGAGAAGTCCACACTATGACTGCATGAGGCTTTGAAAGTACACTCATACATGAGCTATAAAAACACCCAATTACAAAAGCTCATTTAGCTAAATCCTGATAGCCCCACCTCATGTCAATGTCACCTAGGATCTCAGGTCTTTTCAACTGGTAATGGCCAGTACACACACATGGAAACTATAGCACAGCTTAATCTGTAGCACAAGGAGGCTGTGCCCACTGGCTTGGCCCTTAACTGGAAGCTGGACTATGGCAAGAGCAGTGTCAGGGAAGAGCCTGGGAAGCAGCAAAGACCAAGGTTGTGATTGGGGGTGGACTTGTGTAGAGGATAGGGTTAGTGCTATCAGGGATTTGGGTTGAGAGCTGGACTAGGGATTTCCCAGGACAGGTAGAAGATCCTTTTCCCATACGGGACTTCACATTTGCTCAGACTTGTGCCTAGGACTTCAGACACAACTGGTGCCTTGACCCTGTCACCCTCACTCTCCCATACCCTGTTCATTAATCATGGATGTGCTCCATGCTGGCCACAGATTGGAGGTTTCTGAGGGGATTAAGGGTGACAATGCAGAATGGACCTCAAGGCGATAGTCATCTTGGCCATGATGATAGGGGAACTCTACCAAGCACCTGGTGAGAGGGACTTGTCATGATTTCTCTTAGATTTAATGAAGGCATGAGTCATCTTATGCTGGATACAAGGTAGGTTTTCAGTGGCTGTCCATAGAGTTAGGCATGCAGGGATGGAGAGATGTTGTCTTTGCACTGCAGAGATGTAAAAATTCATTCAAAAGCCACATGCCTGGAGCTAAATGTGGTGTCCTGAGTGGGTCCATATCAGAGGCCAAAGGAACTTGAAGCCCTGCTCTGTATTCTATTTTTCTCCAAGGAGCTGTCTGGGTGAACCATGTGCACTATGACAGAGACAGGGGAAGCAAACTCTGTTTTTGGCACAGTACTGTCCACCTATCTCAAAATCTACACTGTTTTTGGAATTTCACCCTTTCCTGGTACCTGGTGCCTGGCTTTTGAGTCAGCGCTCCTTGTGTACTGGGCCTCATTGATGGGAAGAACAATGTGAGATGCACACCTGCATCATTCCCAGGTTCTGCAGTCGACGGAACCCAGGCTGCCAATCTGATGTTATGGTGCAAAGAGAAGGCACAAGGCAAAGATGATTCCAGGTTCACTTGGTGTTGTCATTGCCATGGCTGCCATGGGGCCTGCCCAGGCAGCATGATGACATACTCACTTCCACTTTGACAGGAGATTGCTAGTCACCAACCTGGGCCATTCCCAGAGCTCCGAGAGGAGTGTCCAGCATAGCAGGAGCATTTACTTGGCTGTGTCTCATGCCTGTACTTGGCAACCAACAGGAGTTTCAAGATAGCAGTCCCATTAAGGCTGGAGACTTTATGTTAACCCTAACCCTAACTCTAACCCTAACCCTAACCCTAACCCTAACCTTAACCCTAACCCTAACCCTAACCCTAACCCTAACCCTAACCTTAACCCTAACCCTAACCCTAACCCTAACCCTAACCCTAAGCTTAACCCTAACCCTAACCCTAACCCTAACCCTAACCTTAACCCTAACTCTAACCCTAACCCTATTCCTAACCTAGTCTTCTACTTAAAAATATACTATATATGTGTTTTCTTCCTGTTCTGGAGGCTAAAGTTGAAATCATGTTTACTGGGTTTAGATCCCTGTCCCCAGGGATGTCATCCCTTGGGTCACCAAGTAAGAATCCCTTTAGCTATCCTTTCCAGATTCTTTAGGTGTCTTTTCTGCATTCCATGGCCCAGAGCCCCTTCTTCTGCAAAGATGCAGTGTAGCATCAGAAACTCCCTGTGACCCCTGGGTTCTCTCATCTTCAGGCAGTGATGTTTAGACCTTCTCTGAATTCCTGTGGGCACTAATTCAGTGGTCCCCACTGCCACTCTACCTGAGTCAGGACAAGTGTATGGCTGCTCAAGGGCATACCTGTGATGTCCTCTATAGCAAGTTCTAAGCTCAACTTCCCTCCTGTCTAATACCCTTTAGGATGTACACTGGGGCCCGACCTTCATTGAGGACAGCTGACCCTTTTGGCATCAAATGAGAGAGCAGCTCACCGCTGCAGGAAGGGTGCCCCTGGCCACCACAGATGCAGGAGCCCTAGGAAGCGAGTCACTATCCTGAGTCATGAGTCTGATTCTCAACTGAAGCCCTGGGCAGGATCAGAGCTGTAAGTGTCATCATGGAGAGACACTTGAAGGTGAGGATTTGTGGTGCTTTCCCCTGTCTCACTGTCAGTACATAGGGTGGGAATGCTATGGCTTATGCATAGATATCTCCCTCAGACTTCATGTATTCATGGTGGGGCTTTGGGAAGTGGATGGGTGGTGTGTATGTGATGCAAGGATTAAGTGTGTGATAACTGCATGTGTTCACTGACAGGGTTAGCAAGATGGGGTAGGGTGGCTAACAGGAAGCCCCATCCCGGGTGTGGGTGGCACCACCCAATAGGCTTGAAGCCTGGATGATATAAAAGGGAAAGGAAGGCTCAACGCTTGCTGTCCTCCACCAGCCCTCCATGGACGGTTTCTCCTGTGCAGTGCCCCTCTTCCAGCCACCCTGCCTTGGAGGCAGTTGGTCTCAGACTGAATCCTCTAGCAACAGAGCTCAAGTAAAACCTTTAACTTTTAGGTGGTTGGTGTGCTGCTCCCAAAGTGGGAAAGGCGACTAAGTGAAAGGTAGTAGCTGCATGACGTTGCCTGAAAGTGTCCCTGGTTGCCATCCACACAAGCTTGCTGCAGGCCTGCAAACCTCCACTGGCCACTGCAGTACCCACAGGAGGAGGTGCAGCAAGCCCTTTCCTTGTGGACACAGTGACACACGGGCTCCGGGAGAGCCTCACAACCCTCTCCTGTCTGTGCATAGTTATGTGGTTCTGCCTAAGAGGAACTGTTCCTACTGCTGTTGTCTGAGGATGCAAACTGAGATGATTTCTATATGTGGACAGCTGTAACCTCTGAAACCCTAAGAGAAGCACTAGAGACCAGGAAGGGGGACCCAGCACTGAGTTGTTGTTTGTGTTTGCGTGTGTGTGTGTGTGTGTGTGTGTGTGTGTATGTGTGTGTGTGTTTATGTGTGTGTGGTCATCTCACCTGGACCTGGGGAGATATGGGTGAGGTATGAAGCTTAGCTTAGTCAGTACTTTGGACAGCAGTTCCCTAATGCCGCAGGATGGCTTGGAAACCCGATGGTAGGTTTTCCTCACTGGAAGCCAGGAAATGGCAGGATGGGAAATGGTATGTTTCCCAGGTGGTTCCACTCCTCTTCCAGGATCTTTGGATTTTGCTTGTCCTAACCAATGGCCGAAGCTTCCAGTGCCAGAGCTTTTAAATGGGTGGGCTAATGACACCCTCACCCAGTAACTCAGAGAGGGCCAGATCTTGGAAAGGCAGGGGAAGGGTGGAGTTTAACTGGCATTTGAGGGAACCATCTTTGAGGTGGAGAGTTTGATGGCTAGGTGGTGTCAGTGTCCTTGTGGATGGCAGGGTAGAGGTGGAGCTTCAGGTTCCACGCTCCAGGCCCATGGCAGGGATGGGCCACAAGGATCTAGGTGGGCTTTGGGTCTCAGTTACAAACAAGAAGCTGCCAAAACTGGGAAGATGGGATATTTTCTCAGGAGTCAGGGCCATGAAGGCAGAGGCTCCCTGCTCTGCCTTGGGTGGGATCCACTTCAAAGCAGGTTTTGTCTACAGACAGTGTGCTGAGCTGTGACCTATAAGCCCGTGTCTCTGTGGTCACTGTGGGTGTTCTTATCTTCAAGGAATCCAGGCTGTGGAGCAAAGGAAAGGAGCTCCCCTGCCTGGAAAAAAGGAACGCAGATGTGGAGGCCTGTAGATTGAGTTTATTGATCACCCATCGTGGCTTGACAAGCACAGTAGGTCTTGGGGCACTGAGGTAGGCAGCGCTGCAGTGTAAGAAGAGTCTGCTGGCTTGCTTATGGGTATTTTGCCCTATTCAGCAGCCAGAGGCCATCTTGGGCAGCCATGTCAGAAAGAACAGGGATGGAGAGACAGGAGCTACCTGAAAGTGGATAACACAAAGATAGCTGGGTTTCAAGATGGAAGATGTGGAAAAACTGAAGCTCGAGACTGCCAGGCCTTCATTCCCAGCCTCCCACCAACCCTGCCCAGCCATACTCACTGTCTGGTCAGGAATCATCAATGCATTTCTCTGTGGGGGAGAAAGAACATCAGTACATGACCCCCTGCCTGGGCCAGGCCACTTGAATGTGAGCCCTTCTCTCACATCAGAAATGGGCAAGCCCCACGGTACAGGAGAGAGGTCCTGTCAGCCAGAAGCAAAGCATGGAGAAGAGGTTGCCATTGAGGGGAAGGAGACTGCATAACTTGATCATGGGCCTCATACTGTCACCTGTGCTGGCCTTGATTAACAGGCAGGGGGAGCACACACAATGACTGGGTCCCTAGGCATCCTGAGACTCCACTGAGGCAGTCAGCACCTCTCCAGTCACAGGAGCAGAAGACTCAGAGTCTCTGCCTGATTCCCCTCATGTGCAGAATCAGGCCTACACAGACCCCACCTCCCAGTCACTCCTCCTTAGTGTCTATTACCAATAGGGATGAAGAAGATAATGTTGTCTTCGGTGAAGTCAAGTTTCTTGGCAAAGGAGATGAAGCGCTTCTTCATTAGGGACTTCTGTGTCTTGGTTCTCCCTGTAGCCAAGATGGGCAGTTGGTGGCAAAGAGAAAGTCACTCCATGTTTTCAAATTATCATATACAGGGTCAGAATCACAATCCTCCTGCCTCTGCCTCCTAACCTCCCACTACTGAAATGAGAAAGGCCAACATACCTGGCTGAGAGCAAAACTATATTTGGGTTTTTTTTTTCTGTAATTTTTGGATGGGTCTAGATGGTATTCAGGGTCTCACTACTATATCAGAGTCCTAGTGATTGTCCTGTTTACAGCTTCCCAAAAGCTGGGATTAGAGGTCCATGTCTTCACTCTTAGTCTCAATTGCCATCTGAGCATGCCCCGTGGATGAGGCTGGCATGAGAGGCCTGGGGATAGAACCCCTAGCCCTACACCTGCTTGCAAGCACTTTAACCCGCTGAGCTGTTTCGCTGGATCTCAAAACTATATTTGAATGAGGGAGAGTCTCAGGGACCTCTCCCAAGGGAAGTGAAATGTGAAATGACTTCCTCTCCACATTGGGCTTGGACTGGAGAAGACTTTGGGTCTTAGGTAGGGGCACTGTCCTCTATTGTAACCAGGAACAAGGTTCCTGAAGAGTGGAGTCAGGACGCACCGTAGAGCATGAGGTGGATATACTCCTTGTCATGGAACTTCTGCTCGAAGCCCACTAGAGCATACTCATTGTAGTTGGTGGATAATATAATCATGTTGTATCTCTGTAGTCCATGAGGTCCTGCAGGGTGCACAGCCATCGGTCATTCCTGTCCCGCCTGGAAGCAAGGGACTGATCCCCCTCCCCCATGCCATGTGGCAGAGGCTCTGCCCACAGGACAGAATCTGTGAAGTGCACAGGAGGCCAGTGCCTTTGGGGAGGACTGTGACCTCAGAATCCTCACACCAGGGCCCCATTCTCAGGACTCACGACATGGGTATTCTATGACAAAATTCCTAGGATACTTGGTTGGAGAGAATTTCCTGATCCAGCGATCACACTCCCTGTGAGATCTATTAACCATGATTGGTTTGGAAGATGCAATTGGTAAAAATGGCCTGTGAGAGGAGAGAGAAAGGTGACTGAGCAGGGGGTGACACACACTTGGTCCTACTTAGAGGCTCTGTAAAGGGCCAGAGCACAGCAGGATTCTGATCCCTCAGTGTAGCTCAGCCCAGACCACTTGACACTCTCTAGAGCAGAACCCCCTAGCAGACATTTCCATGGCCCTAGGTCTCCTGCCCTGCACCTCTGCTTGCTTCTCTGCACTCAGTCTTCCCTCCAGCACTCACTGTCTCCTATGCCACCTTGCCAGGCAGCCTGTCCCACACACAGGCTGGGGGCGCTGATCCCTGCTCTTATCCTGAGGCTCCTCTTTCCCATGGTTCCTTGCAATTTCCTGTCAGCTTCAGGTCTGCTCCATGCTAGGGAACAGCCTGACCTCTTTCCTGAGTCCAAAACAACCCTGCTTTCCAGGGACAAGCCCACCAGGTCTGCCTTTCTGATACCCTTGGACTTCTAAAGCTCCAACTTTAAAACACCCAAATGGCTATAGCCAGAATCACATGCAGCTGGGGGAGCCTGGGCTCAACTCCTGTGAGTTCTCCACTGACCCTCCACTTCCACCCCCCAGCTGCTGTTGTCTTTACAATTGTGCCCACATTCCCTGCAGTAGCTGTTCCCAGATGTGGCCTAGCAGGAGCCACAGACCAGCTGTGTTAGAGGTGCCCAGATGCTGGCCTGGGAGTGCCCCCCTCCAAGCGGGTCATCAGCCCCTGCTCAGGTGGTCTCCCTGAAGGCTCAAGCTTGCTTTCTTTCTTTCTTTCTTTCTTTCTTTCTTTCTTTCTTTCTTTCTTTCTTTCTTTCTTTCTTTTTTCTTTCTTTCTTTCTTTCTTTCTTTCTTTCTTTCTTTCTTTCTTTCTTTCTTTCTTTCTTTCACCAGGAATTGAACTCAGGACCTTGCACTTGCCAGGCAAGTGCTTATTCTACTGAACCATCTCCCCAGCCTTTTCCTGGTTCTTTAGTTGAGGCCATCTGACAGCCCTGTGATGTCATCTCTTTTCTGCACTCTGGTAGAGATGGAGCCCTGGCCATGGCAGTGACATGCATCCCCCTACTGTCTTCTTTTCTCATTTTAGACATTTTCTCATTTTCTCATCTCTGCTTGCTGCCCAGGCTAGCTGAACTTTTCTATCCTCTCATTTGAGCCTCTGGAAAGTCCAGGATGATAGGCAGCACAAGTGTTAAGGTCACATCCCTATCAGGGTTTTTTTTCTGCCATTGGTTGTCATGCCAGCTGGGATCCAGTGTGTCCTTGTCTCTCTGACACACTTATTTTTGTCTTATTTTCACCTGCCTGTCTCTGTGCTAAAGCCACCCGTGAATACTGATAGAAGTAAGGGAGGAAAGGAAAGAGCAAAAGGAGAAAGAAGGGAGAGACTGCAGTGTTGGAGTCCATGCAGAGCGGTGAGATAAAGACAGCATCCCTCAGCCTTGAGCACCTTTGATTGACACCGTCCTGTTTCTCGGACCTTAAGGAAGTTGCAAATTCACCTGTACATGATGGTGGTGAACAGGTAGCCATGGTCGTCTGTCGCGTTGAAGAAGACACTGTGCATGTTAATCTTCTTTTTTGCTCCATTCTTAATTGCCGCATCTGCGATGGCTATAGCGTACCACTTGCCCTGCGCCTGCAAGGGACTGATGATAGAGAACGCGCAAGCATGGTTCCCGCAGTTGCCCCCTCCATACTGTCCCTGCTGCTCCTTCCGGGCCATCCTCTGAGCAGCAGAAACTGGGTGTTACCTTCACCTGAGACACCTCTAGGCACTAGACTCCTCCAGGACAAGGGGGAACCTGGGTGAGGACCCAGCCCTGAGTTGTCAGGGATGAGGTCACCCAGCACAAGTGCCTCATGTGTGTTGCAAAACCTCAGCTTTCTTGTCTGTGGGGAAGGATAGAAGACGTCCCCACCCTCACGTCCTGGGTCCTGGATGTCCCAGTCTACTTTTAATGTATTTCCTTGCCCTGGGCATGACCCGACCTCTCCTCCCCCTGCTCCCACTGGCCTTGTCCTCCAACCATCATGGTCCCTGCAGTTCCACAGACTTTACCCAGGAATAGTTGAAGTTCTGATGCGGGAAAAACATTTGAAGTAATAACTCTGCCTCAAAAGTCCCGTTGAAATTATGGTCCTGTGACTGCACAGTTTCTAGCAGGAAGAGAAACAGAAACAGGAGAGCCAGAGCCATGGCTTCAGAGCAGGGCTGACCCAGCAGGGATTGCAGGAGGAAACAGAAGGCTGAGATCCAACCAAAGAGGAGGCAATTATAGGGCGGCTGACTGTTGTCACACTTGAGAAATACGTCATACCATGTTTCTCTTTCTTCTCTTCTCAAAATTATGCAAGGTGGATGTAAGAAAAGAGGGCCAGGGACATGAGGGACATTCCCTGAACACCAGGGTCCAGCAGGCACCAGGTCTCCCTGTGGCTTATTTCTGTGTCTCTTCTGTGCATTCCATTGGCTCTGTCAGGCAGAAGCTCGGGTCCTGACAAGATGTGACCTGTGAATCTGTCCCCCATGTTGGTTGGATGACAAGGCCCCTTCCCATATCTTGCAACAGAGCAGAATGTGCTGGGCATGGTGGACATGGTGGCACATGCGTGCAGTTCAGCACTCTGGAGGGTGGGGAGGAGGGTTACCAAAACTGAATGCCAGTCTGGGCTACACAGAGAGCTCAAGGTCATCCTGAGTCCATATGAAGACCCTGTCTCCAAAAAGAAAGAAAGAAGTAAAGAATGTTCTTCTCTCCCATCTTCTGTGCACCATGCTTGTTGTAAACATCAGGGAAGGTTGTGGTGGCTGACCTGGGCATGCTGGACCAGGAAGGACAAGGTCCTGGCCCTCTGGGACTCACAAGCCAGGCCCTCAGCAGTGTGACATGCATGAATCCCTCTCCCCCTCCTCATCACCAAGGCATGTGAGGGAGCAGAAAAGGGATCAGTGACAGTTGTCACGTTGGCCTCTCCTGTGAGCCCAGCAGATATGCGCAGCCTGGCTCAGGGACTGTCAGTGTGTCTGCCTGACAGGGCTGAGTGCAGAGGCTCTGGGCACAGCTCCCTGCAGAGCCCCGGAGGGAGGTCAGGAGGGAGCAAGCTGGGCTGCACTGTGCTGTGCACACCAGGTGCTGTGGCTCATTTGTAGCAGGGTCTGGCCTTGACCTTGAGAGGTCATTCAGGTCAACCTTCTATTTCTAACCACATTCATGGGCCATGAATCTCCATTGCTGAACGCGGAGGTCTCAAGACTGTCCTAAGATGGCTGATGCCACAGTTGTCCCATAGTGCTGGTAGACTGTGTCCTTACTGAAGTCCTGGCCAGAATCCTTGGAAAGCAGTGTTAACCTGAGACCTGAAGCATTGTGCCCCTGAGATGGCCCGTGCATGAGGGCGTACTGTCTTGGACAATATTTTTTTGTCTTGGACAATTGAGCTGAGGTTGTACTGGGGTTCTCTGCCTTTGAACTGGACTGCAGGGGCCATCTTCAGCCCTATTCACCTGGTGAAGGATGAACATAGGTTGTTGTGGGGGATACTGAAATTAGGGACCTCAGACAGTGCACTGGATTGGTTCGAAGCTTGCAGCCTCAGCCCCCCACCTCACCCAGTCAGCTCTCCATGTACCCCACTACCTGGGCTGGATGGTAAAGAGGCAGGAAGTGAAGATGTCCAATACTCTGGCCCCATAGCAGCCACACTCCCAGCTGTCCCCATCCTCTCGCATCCCTAGGGCTCCACATCCACTGCTTTCTATGAGCTAGAAATGTACCTTCAGCCATCCAAGGTGCTACCACCTGTGCATTCTGGGAGGGCTCTGCTTAGTTTTACAATGTTTGCTCCAGCCAGTCATGTTGTTATCTGCCCAAGGGAGGTACAGAGGATGAGGAGGAGGCAGTAGGTGGTGCTGCCCACCGGGAAGTCCAGACAGGAGACCCTCAGTCTTCCCTTCCAGTCACGAGAGTAGGGGTGTCTCCTGCCATGGCATCCTGTCCTCCTGTGCTCCCCCTTCCTGAGGGCAGCCCCAATGACAATATTAAGCATCAGTCCAAGGTACTCCTGTCCCACTCACTGGGCCAACACACCTGCATTCTGTGGGCCTTGGTGTCCTGAGCCATCTCCCCATCTGCTG